CAGGAGCTTCTACCTGCTATGAAGAAGTTAAGGAGAGGAGTGAACAACTGAGTTGTAAGGGAGAATACCCAGAAAGTGCATAGCAAGTGCGTTATTAAACACATTTTTGCGCCAAGCTACGAGCACTGCTTGCATAGTACACCCTTAGTTGGCCATACTGCATGATTGACAGGCATCCTGACATGCATTCACTCCAGGCTGACTTACCAATTGTTTTGGATACACTCACCCCTTTTCTGGGCATGTCCATCCTTTTGGCGGTGCCGGTAACATGATTTGTGTCAGTGGCCCACCCTTTTTATCGCATTCACCGACGTCATGCTTTACTGGATGCTGCTGTTTGGGTCTATGGATTTGCTTGAGAGATTGAAGTGAGAGATTTGCATAGGGTATGTGTTTTCTTATAGTAGTCCTATTTTACACCACCTCCACCGGATACATGATGCTTGGGAGGCATGACTGCTTTAGTGTGTTCTGTCAATGCATTTCTGTATTCAGGACCATCATAATTGCAAGCACCAGGCCCAATGTGCTCTTAATCCAGCTCTGTCTCGAAGTCTTCTGAAATCTGTGAGTTATTAATAACCTCATGCTGGAAACAGCAGGTTAAAGCTCAATGTAATATTGGAATGCCTGGATAGTCGAGTCAAAGGATACCAGAGGACAGAATCGCAGGACTATGCAATAGCACTAAAGGGGCCAAGAATAGGAACCACAACAGGGCATGGTTTAAAGCATAAAGCACTCCATTATTCCATAATGACGTCAATGTGAATTTGTTGCATCTTACAAAAGGAGGGACAAAGCATCCGGCATTGGAATCACCGGATACCTGGGCAGAGGAATGTACAGCAAGGAGGGCATCCAGGGACAAGGTTAGTAATCGTGACAGTACCACCCTTCCAGTACTGTCTACCAGGTGGTAAGAATCAGGCCTGATAGGGAAATGAACATGAAAAAATCTGACTAAATGTAGAGCATAAACATTAAGAACATTTCTATCTATCAAATACTCGAGTTTACTATGAGAAAATCTGGAATCCAGAATGGACTTTATCTTATAATCTTCCTGACCTTCCATTTGAAACAAGGTAAGTAATCTACAAGTGGTCAGATTCCACAATACATTTAGGACATTCAAATATACTGGGAGTGCTATGTTTTGTAAGGTAGCCAATCCACACATTGTTTAAGTGGACACTAAACCCATCCAGACCACTTCATCTCAATGATGTGGTCTAAGTGCAGTTCCCCAAGCATTTTAGCCCTTCAATCTGAAACCATGTCATTTAGTAGAAATTACAATGTTTTGAATGCAGGGCTAAATACACATCTAGTGGCTGTCTTCCTGATCGCCATTAGAGTGTCTTCCTGACCATGTCTTCCTGACCGCCATTACAGTGTCTTCCTGACAATCTTCAGAGTGTCTTCCTGACCGCCATTAGAGTGTCTTCCTGACAGTCTTTAGAGTGTCTTCCTGACTGCCATTCGAGTGTCTTCCTGACCGCCATTAGAGTGTCATCCTGACAGCTATTAGAATGTTCCTGATCGCCATAAGAGGTGCTTGCGCATCTGGTGGTGGTTGTCAGTCAAAGGGTTCAAACATTATAGATGTGAGATTTATTTTATCACCTTGCTTTCCCATGTGCAACAAATTTCAAATCCTGTTCAAATGTGTAAGATTTATATCAGGCTTCCCCAAACTCCGGCCCTCCAGATGTTGCTGAACTACAACTCCCATGGTTCTCAACCTATCTATTTCATTCATAGAATTATGGGAGTTGTAGTTCAGCAACATCTGGAGGGCCGGAGTTTGGGGAAGCCTGATTTATCTGATCAGCTTTGCTTTTAAGAAAATGGTGCATGTTTGAAATTATTACTTGTTATTATTTTCCAAAATTTTTTGGGGGAGGAATATGATGTAACCCCAATTTTCCCATTGTTTTATTATTTTTACACTAAATGAATGCAGGCACATAAATCCAGGATAAGGTATTAGCATGGCATGCAACTGGTTAAATGTGTTTGTAAACTTTAAACCTGGAGTGCCCTGTCTGATGTACGTTAAATGTATGTTTTATGAAGGCTTCAAGGAGAAGATCAAATGCTTGTGAGTAGAACAAAACAAAATTGTGCAGAACATCTAAAAATTAAACAAAACAATGTAAGAAATTCTGAACTTTGCTGAGATCAGAAAGAACCCTCAAATTCATTTATATGACATTGTTAGTTCACATTGGACATGTGTTACAAAGCACAGCCCGAGGGTAAATCTTGAAACAAACATCTTCTGTTCCTGGGGAATTTAAAAGGAAAATCAAATGAAAGTTTTAGTGCAAAAAGGTTACGATTTTGAGAAGTGCAGGTTTAGCTTTCAAAATACATTTTATTAACAACTATGTTCTGATGTGAACAATAAAAACAGGTTGAAAGAGTCATGTTTAATTGCGTTGGATGTAATATTTACAATTCTTCATGTGTGAATGTGTTACTGCATTCACATTGTTATCTGAAGTCCGATCACCTATTATTATGATTATTAGCATAATGCCAACATTTCCGCAGCACTTTACAAATATAAAAAGGTGATGTGTAGAGGTAAAGAATGCCCTGCTCAGACGAGCTTACAATCTAGGAGGATTTGAGGTAGGTGAATATATATTAATAAGTGTTTTGTCCAATGACACTTACTGGTAATTGGGACACTTACTGTTCTGATTGTTTCCCAGTTCGATGTACATTATTACTACTCTAAGCAGCCAACATGGGTTTGCATAGTTTGTAGAGTAGAATATGGAATGTACATGTACTGCTAAATACATGATTTATGTCATATCGAGATTTAGAACTTTGCCCCAGAAAAAACATCATTAACACGGCAAACTAACAAACATCCACTCCACTTTTAATAATAATCTTTGTTTTAATACTGATGATAATACTTTGGTGATAAAGCTCTTTAAGACAGAGTAAGATGTGGATTCCGATCAACCCCGGAGCTTCATAATAATGTTACCTTGTGACCGCTGAATGATGCGAAGGGATTTGTCCTTCTCTTTCCTCTTCTCCCACTCTCGTTTTCTCTCTACATGCCCTTAACGACACCAGCACTCAGTTTATTGGTGGCTCTTACTGAGGAAAAGAGAATCTGCACACAACAAATAGCAAGTTCTTAGAAACACTTCCTTCCATAGCATATTCTGAATTCATGAACAGCTGGACCCTTTGTACACCATTAACAGTGACGCCACTGACACTATGGTGACAATTCTGTAATGTAACAGTGTATGTGTGTGTTTTACTTGTCATGTGTGATTGGAATGTGTTAGTTTGTAAATGTCAATTAACATTTTTTTTTACACATGTGGATAATAAATTATATAAACCGTGGTTTGCTAGTGGGAAAAAAATACCTTGTAGTCATGACTTTCTATTTTGTATTTTCTCTATATCGATGCATATTTCTTTCTATGAATCGATTGCATTGAAGGAGAGATAGCATAATAGAAACATCCCTAATGAGCTCTTAGCTGGCAACCATAGCATCTGGGGGAATTGGTTCCTTAATATTATATGTCTAGGGTATTTTAATTTACTGTATCAAGCCAAATATCCATCCAGAGTTAACAGATCAGCTGTGTGAGAAATTGCTTCTCAAATCAATATCTAATCTGGGAATCTAAACTTTCCATATAGCAAACAACCGTTTAATAGGGCAAATAGAGGCATGTAGAGAGTATTTGTACCTTTGCAGGCATATCATTTGACACAAAGATGGCGTCTGGTGGACTTGCTGTGTAAGGAACAATGATATCAGACTGGTAAGCATAACCTCCTAAGGCTAATGTTACTTGTGTTACCTGTGTAAGATAGTAGGCTCTGTAAATCATACATTATTAAGTATCATTTTAAAGTTATTTTATTGCACTCTTTTGCTTTAGTTTGCTCAACCTCAGGGGGAGACAAATAGCTATATGTATTTCATTGTAAAATCATTGTCCATGCCTTGTCCACTCTCCAGGGCGCATTTTGGGGACCTGTCCTGTATTTTTAGCTAATATACAAAAAGAAAAAAACATCTATAGGTGGTGGCTGTCAAGAACCAGACTAATCCAGTACACCCTGTAGAGGGTCACACCTTATAAGACACTCCAGAGGTGTCTTGGGGCATAACCCCTAATAAAGAGAACTATAAGAAACTCGAAATAACAAGTATATGAGTATCCTCTGGAAAACTAATAATCTAACAATACAGTAAATACTATAAAAAGTAATAGAAGGAGATAAACACCATAGAAATACTGTAGGACGATCAGTCGGAAAAAAAGTGCCAGGTGGCTTGCCTCCTATCCTAAAGTCTACAAAATAATCGCTGAGATACACAGACTTAGACTTTAATATAATCAATAGTGATCAATGTCTGCAACTAATATCAGCTGTACATGAAAATTCAAGGAGACTATAGGAATATGCTTATACCCAGTGGGGTTCGAAAATGCTCAAAATAATATGAATTTTATAATAAATTGCATCACTTAATAGTGGTGTAAAAATATAAATTACTTAAAAAGAAAAAGAAAAAATTAAATAGTTTCAATTTTGAGTAAAATGACAGGCTGTATCAGAGTTACTAATACCTCCCTATAACATGGAAAGCTATTAAAGATAAATAATAGTCAGTTCTATAAAACATAATTGAAAGAACACCAACCCTGTATAGCTAAACTCTGAATACTTAATCGATACATTTAACCAATAGAGAGTATCAAAAAAGCGATATTAGTGTAACTAAACGCTTGTATATTAAGTAGCCCCATAGATAGTATATAGACTCCACTTGTATAGGGTATAAGACAATAAACAGAGATGAAAAGGAAAGTGATAAATAGTGATGTCCCGAACGGTTCACCGAATGGTTCGCCACGGATGGCGAACATATGTGCTGTTCGGTCCGCCCCCTATGTCATCATTGAGTAAGCGTTGACCATGTACCTCACAGTCAGCAGACACATTCCAGCCAATCAGCAGCTGACCCTCCCTCCCAGATCCTCCCACCTCCTGGACAGCATCCATTTTACATTCATTGTGAAGCTGCATTTTTAGTGAGCTGTCCAGGAGGTGGGAGGGTCTGGGAGGGAGGGTCTGCTGCTGATTGGCTGGAATGTGTCTGCTGACTGTGAGGTACAGGGTCAAAGTTTACTCAATGATGATGAATAGGGGGCGGACCGAACAGCGCATATGTTCGCCATCCGTGGCGAACCGTTCAGCGAACCGTTCGGGACATCACTAGTGATAAACATTCTAAATGTGCAGAACCATACTTAGAGTGTTGGTTCCCTGCACATTGTGATAGCGTGCCCTGTGAAGTGAGAAAAAGTGGGGAAAAATCTCTCTAAACCCGACGCGCGTTTCGTCAGGGGACAAATCCGTACTGATCGACGGGTCTCTTATAAGTACATGTCCCTATTGAAACTATTTTCAAACCACCAATCAGGAAGCAAAAAATTGGTGCCAACGTTATGTTAATGAGTGTTGAAAGGAGCCAATCAGATCACTATTCCTATTCACGGAGTTTCAATTGATAATTAGCATCTTTGGTTAACCCCTCATAGGGAGATCTATCAACACAGATGACTGCACATTTTGCAATGGGCAGCCTACTAACATTAAAAAAGAAGGGGGGATGATACAAAGATGTTTATATAGTTCAACATTAACGGTGCCGATCTAAACTATCTAGCCATATGGAGCTGAATATACATTCTTAATAATTAAGTGTTAATACAGCAAAGTAAACTTCAATATGGTATTTAAATAAACATTTAACGCTACCGGAGTTAATTGCTAGCGATTTAATACCGATATTAATAGGTGCCAGTTAGTCATTAAGGTTAACCCTTTATAATACACTTTGTCATTTTGGCTAGCAGTTTGCTACCGATATTAATAGGTGCCAGTTAGTCATTAAGGTTAACCCTTTATAATACACTTTGTCATTTTGGCTAGCAGTTTGCTACCGATATTAATATCTAATAATATTTGCTAACTATGGGGCTACTTAATATACAAGCGTTTAGTTACACTAATATCGCTTTTTTGATACTCTCTATTGGTTAAATGTATCGATTAAGTATTCAGAGTTTAGCTATACAGGGTTGGTGTTCTTTCAATTATGTTTTATAGAACTGACTATTATTTATCTTTAATAGCTTTCCATGTTATAGGGAGGCATTAGTAACTCTGATATAGCCTGTCATTTTACTCAAAATTGAAACTATTTAATTTTTTATTTTTCTTTTTAAGTCATTTATATTTTTACACCACTATTAAGTGATGCACTTTATTATAAAATTCATATTATTTTGAGCATTTTCAAACCCCACTGGGTATAAGCATATTCCTATAGTCTCCTTGTTAGTGATGTCCCGAACGGTTCGCCGCGGACTCATCATTGAGTAAACTTTGACCCTGTACCTCACAGTCAGCAGACACATTTCAGCCAATCAGCAGCAGACCCTCCCTCCCAGACCCTCCCACCTCCTGGACAGCATCCATTTTACATTCATTGTGAAGCTGCATTCTTAGTGAGCTGTCCAGGAGGTGGGAAGGATTTATTTTCAATAAATTTTGACTTTTATCTACCGTGAGTGCAGCTACCTATTGGATGTATATATATATATATATATATATATATATATATATATATATATATATGTATACACATACACATACTGACATACATACACATACTGACATACATACACAAACACACAGAAACACATACATAATGACATACATACTGACATACATACACATACTGACATACATACACATACACACAGAAACACATACATAATGACATACATACTGACATACATACACATACTGACATACATACACATACACACAGAAACACATACATAATGACATACATACTGACATACATACATACATTGAAGAAGCAGGGTATAGGTGCTCTCTAAAATAACTGAGTGTACGGCAGCAGTGAACCAGCAGGACTTCCCAATACCTGCTAATAACCAGAAAGTGCAAAAACAAAGTGGTAAACCGCGCCACAAAAGAATGTAAGGTAATTAAAATATGGAAATGGTATATACATACATACAGGGTATTCCAATAATATGGTGGTGTATATAAACCTTAAAAAAATGAAATATAAAATGATAATAGTGCAATATGTCAGTTAAATGGCATTTACATATAATAAAAGGAGAACCCGTAATAAGTCTAACTCACACTCCTTTCTCTGTGCCTCCTCTGCTCTCCTAAAATGAAGGAGGAGCTGAGAGGAAGTGATAAACTCTAATTTCCTCCCAATACTGGCTGCTGATATTAAAGTGGCCTGGTCGGTTAGCAGACATGCCTTCTTATCGGGCTTGCCTAAGTGGATGGGCAACCTGATGTGGCTCCAACGCCTGTGGGCCCCAGTGTAGTCACACCTGCTGCACTGATGGTAGTTCCATAGCTGCGCAGGGTTCTAAGACTATACATAGAATTCTTGCTGTGCTCTATCTGTGAGTTAGGCTGTAAGACACTCTAGACACCGACTTTGTGGGAATACCCACTCGTTTTGTTGTCCTGCCCTGCAGCCAGCATGTATGCATTATGTATCCATTAAATATCTTCACTTTTCACCAGAACTCCTTGTGTCAATCTAGTTACTGGCCTTGTGTATTCAGATTTGGCCAAATTGTGATCCAGTCAAATTTAGGCCGAGCAGCTTATCTTCGAAAAGCCATATGGATGTGCTGGTCACTTGCATGCTAGCTGAACTTAGTTTGATTTGGTAGTCAAAGTACTGCCCGTGGTGCCAAAAAAAGTGATTGATGGCAAAAAAAATTATTGATAGCTAGGGGACAGCAGCTAATGTTAATTTTATTCACAAATCAAGTGAGAATTGACTAATATAAGAATAAAAGGAGGCGCAATAAGAAACTATTAATTTATTCTATATTTACTAAATATATATAATATAGAAATATAGAAATATAGTTATTTTTTTATCTCTATTGGACTTTTTTTTACTTGACTTGTGAACTAAATGATGGGAAAATGTGTGAACTGCAAAATATATACATGAAATTTATGATTGGCCAATTTTTGCACCTTTTTTTGGTTTGTCTGAATGTTTCCCTAAAAGTTTTTCCATGGATGATATTCGACCATCACATGAAACGAGTAATGGAGCTACCAAACTAAATTACATTTTTTGTAAAAAGAAAATATCTGAATTTTCAATGGATTCACAAAACAGATTGATCTCACAATTGTAAAAAAAACTCCTTATATGCACATTAATTTGTGATTTTTTGTTTTAGCCTTTTGTACAGATATTGATGTTTTGATTTTGCAATCATCCTCTAAGTATTATTTAGCTGTCAGATTTCCTTTAAGTTAATGGCAAACAGGCTTCTATCACCGTATTAATAGAGATGCAGGTGAGAGTCTGGCAAAGTCAGTTCTTTGCACTAATGAACCTCATAAATCATTCACCTGGACCAGAAAATTCTCGGCATATTAGATCTCTAATAGATCAGAACTTTCCAATCACCTAAACTCACAATACATTTTAATTGTGTCTAAATATTTAATTAAGAAAAAAAAAGAAATGTAAAACTTTAACTTTTAGGTAAACTTTTCTTTATACTCGGCCTGTTCACGCACTACTGGGAAATTATAGGTAACAACGATAAAATGACTGCAAGTTGGCACCAGACTGAAGAGCAGCTGGCTGCGGTACTCTTACTCCTGGACTATGTTGACGGTTTTGGCTCATAGAGATATGGCACCTGCAGGCTGCACTGTGACAGTTTTGCAGAAATAAACATTTGAAAGAAAAAGCAATTGAAAATTTCATGATGCTCAGAGCACCAAATTGAAGAAAAAGATTATTGTATATCTGTCAGTAACATTTTTTAATTCCATATGTGGCTTTGGAATAATTAAGCAATTAAGAGTATTTATGTAGTGGGCGTTATGGTTTATTTGGGTGTTTGTATAGTTTATAAAAAGGATGTGCCTTGGGATAAGAACATAGCTTGGCAATGTTTCTCTGTTATTTTTATTTTTTTTTTATCTCTTTTTCATTTTTTTTCCATTGACTGTCATGCTGTAGCCGTTTGAGCTTGTGATTAGAATTTGCATGATTATATATTTTATTCATGGATTTTGAGGAGCAGAAAATATTCTTTTTTTCACAAGCACAATTATTGTAACTCGACTTTGTGCGTGGATTAAAGTGAAAGTGTTTCTTGTTGTATTTCAGAGTCAATTTGTCAAAGGAATTCTAAACGGTCGATGAATAAAATTATTTATTTGTATAACAAAAAAAAGAAAAAAGAAAGGACAAGTTAGAGCCAACTACTCTAAAGATCTGTTACGTTAAAGGGACGTTCTAAACACCATAACAACCTGTGCCTATTACAGAGTTTATGGTAAAATCAAGTCTCCAGTTCCTGTCTTCGTTTTAATACTATTTATATGATGAAGTTATACTAACTTCCTTCTCTGACTCCGAGCATCCTCCGAGCAATGGCTAGACTCTGATATGTTCGTCAACTGTTGACAATGGTGAGCACAGCCCCATTTATATGACTAAGAACAAGGCGGTCAATAAACCGTGATTGCTTTGTTATTGCTTCTGTCTGCTTATTCTGTATAAATAAATACATTTACCATGTTTAATAAATAAACTGCTGCTGGGGACTGAACTGAACTTCCAATAAACCGATGCTATTCAAGCATCCATTAATAAGATCCCACCCAATATATTAGAATGAGAGGCTCCTGAGAGACAGAGACTCCACTGAGTATTGACAAAGCTCACTAATGGTACTGCTTCTTGCCCGCGCAGGAACACTAAAGGTATAATGAATCTTATTTTTCTAAATGCATAATTTCCATAATGCAATAAAATGGGTGTCATTATCAGCACAGAATGTCCCTTTGCATGTATTTTTTTTACGATTTGAAATGTCTGTATATTGAATGTAGACAGATTATTGAACACAGATAGGGACCTCTAATTTCTATGTAAGAGAAAGTCCTGCACACAAAATTAATGCTAGATAATAACATGTTGATATTATATAATTGCAGAGATATGTGATTGAAGCCAAATATGTTTTAAGTTGATTTCCCAAATAAATAATA